TGGGGGGGTGTCTCACGGCTCTTTGGGGTACGTCGGGGTCCCAGACGGCGCTCCTGGGCACGGGGATGGGGCCACAACCTCGGGCTGGCCGGATCCGTCCTGGGCTGGCCTGGCTCTGCGCGGTGCCGGTGGGCAAGTGGCAACCGGGCGCTTGCCAGGGTCCCCCCGTGAGCTGCCTGTGGGACCCCCCCCTCCTCCCCCCTCACCACCAGGCTTGTCCCGTCCTGTCCTGTCCCGGGGCTTTGAAGGTGAAGGCTGATCCCAGCAAACCCAGGTGGGCTCCTCGCACCCAGGACCACCCCATCACCTCCTCCCTGCACCCTAAAGCGGCGTTAACTCCCCGCGCCAGCGGGTCCCGGAGCAGGGGGGCTGGGGGGGGTTGGCTCCCCGACCCTTGCTGCCACTGCCCCAGGTTTCGGTGCCGCACCTTGTTGTTTTGTTTTCATTTTCTCTAGCCTCATCCCGGAAACAGGGGGTTTTATTGCCCTTTTCGGAGCTGTTGCACCTCTCCAGGCGCAGCCGGTAGGACTCTGCCCTGCGCCCGAGGGTGCCCTGCCCACACTGGGCCCTCCCTTTGTGGTAGTAAGCCAACTGCCTGGTTGCCCGCTGGCACGGCGTGACCATCTGGCACGGGGACACCTTCTTGCTCCCCTCCTCCTTCCTGGAACTCGGTGGTCCGGCTCCGCAGGGACAGATGCTGTCCCCTTGCCCGGGGCATCTCCCCCTCTGCTCTGCACTGGGGAGGCCACAACTGGAATCCTGCCTCCATTTCTGGGCTCCCCAGTTCAAGAGGGACAGGGAACTGCTGGAGAGAGTCCAGCGTAGGGCAACAAAGGTGATGGAGGGATTGGAGCATCTCCCTGATGAGGAAAGGCTGAGAGAGCTGGGGCTCTTGAGCCTGGAGAAGAGAAGGCTGAGAGAGACCTTATTGGTGCTTCCAAGGATCTAAAGGGTGGGTTGAAGGAGGATGGAGCTGGACTCTTTCCAGTGGTTCCCAGTAACAGGACAAGGGGCAATGGGCACAAGCTGGAACAGGGGAAATTCCACTCCAACCTGAGGAAGAACTTCTTTGGGGTGAGGGTGGCAGAGCCCTGGCAGAGGCTGCCCAGGGAGGGTGTGGAGTCCCCTTCTCTGGAGATCTTCAAGCCCCACCTGGATGCTCCTGAGTGATGTGCTCTGGGCGACCCTGCTTTGGCAGGGGGGTTGGACAGGATGGTCTCTAGAAGGTCCCTTCCAGCTCTGACAATTCCGTGAGCTGTTCCTCAGGGCTCAGTGTTGGGACCATTTCTGTTTAACATCTTTATGGATGATCTCGATAAGGACATAGAGTATATCCTCAGTAGGTTCACAGATGACACCAAGTGAAGTGGGAGTGTTGATCTGCACGAGGATAGGGAGGGTCTCCAGAGAGACTTGGATAGTTGGGATCCATGGGCCAATGTTAATGGGATGAGCTTCAACAAGGCCAAGTGCTGGGTCCTGAACTTGGGTCACACCAACCCCCCCCCAGGGCTACGGGCTGAGGAAAGTGTGGCTGGAGCTGCCGGGTGGAAAAGGAGCTGGGGGTTTTAATTGCTAAGAGGCTGATTATGAGCCAGCCGTGTGCCCAGGGGGCCAAGAAAGCCAACGGGATCCTGGAGTTGGACAGGATGGTCTCTAGAAGGTCCCTTCCAGCTCTGACAATTCCGTGAGCTGTTCCTCAGGGCTCAGTGTTGGGACCATTTCTGTTTAACATCTTTATGGATGATCTCGATAAGGACATAGAGTATATCCTCAGTAGGTTCACAGATGACACCAAGTGAAGTGGGAGTGTTGATCTGCACGAGGATAGGGAGGGTCTCCAGAGAGACTTGGATAGTTGGGATCCATGGGCCAATGTTAATGGGATGAGCTTCAACAAGGCCAAGTGCTGGGTCCTGAACTTGGGTCACACCAACCCCCCCCCAGGGCTACGGGCTGAGGAAAGTGTGGCTGGAGCTGCCGGGTGGAAAAGGAGCTGGGGGTTTTAATTGCTAAGAGGCTGATTATGAGCCAGCCGTGTGCCCAGGGGGCCAAGAAAGCCAACGGGATCCTGGATGAGGAATAGTGTGACCAGCAGGAGTCGGGAGGTGACTGTCCCCCTGTGCCCAGCACTGGGGAGGCCACACCTGGGGGGTTGGGTCCAGTTTTGGGCACCTCAACCCAAGAGAGATCTGGAGGTGCTGGAGCGGGGGCAGAGGAGGGCAATGAAGCTGGGGAAGAATAAATTTTATGAAGAGCCATTGAAGGAGCTGGGACTGTTCAGTCTGAGGAAGAGGAGGCTGAGGGGAGACCTCATCACTCTCTACAGCTACTTGAAAGGACACTGTAGAGAGGTTGGGGCTGGGCTCTTCTCACAAGGAGTTAGTGATAGCATGAGAGGGAATGGCTTCAAGCTGCAACAGGGTGGGTTTAGAGTGGACATTAGGAAACAATTTGTCACGGTAAGAGTGGTTGGAGACTGGAAGGGGCTGCCCAGAGAGGGGGTGGAGCCCCCACCCTTGGATGAGTTTCAGAGTCGTTTAGATGCGGGGTTGGGGGATGTGGTGGAGGGGAGAACTTTGTAGAGTGGGGTTGATGGTTGGACTCACTGATCCCAAGGGTCTTTTCTGACCCGAATGATTCTATGATCTCTCTGGGTGCAGACGCCTGGGGGGCTGTGTATGTTGCTGGGGGGGTGGTTGGCTGGTGCCACATCCCACTCCCCATCTCTTGCAGGGCACGTCTCTGCGGTGCTACCAAGTGGAGCTGTGGGGTCTGGTTGCTGTGGGGCTCCTGGGGCTCTGCTACCGCATCTACCACGATGATGGGCTGTGGCTGAGTATGACCCCCAACCGCAGCACCCCTCCGCAGCCCCAGGCAGCCCCCAGGCTCCCCCCACCAACCCCTGCCCCTTGCGTGGCCAACACCTCGATGCACAAGATTGATGGCTTCGCCAACCTGCCAGGCCACATTCAGGACTTCATGCTGTACCAGCACTGCCGCGTCTTCCCGGCGCTGCTCGACGTCCCCGACAAGTGTGGGGGGCCCGATGGGTCCCCCGACGTCTTCCTCCTCTTGGCCATCAAGTCGTCGCCGCTGAACTACGAGCGGCGGGAGACGATCCGCAAGACCTGGGGGCAGGAGAGGACCTTTGAAGGAGCCTTGATCCGCCGGGTCTTCCTGGTGGGAGTCACCGGCAGGGCCCAGGATGACAAGAAGCTGAAGCCGCTGCTGCAGCGGGAGCAGCAGGAGCACAGGGACATGCTGCAGTGGGCCTTCAAGGACACCTTCTTCAACCTGACGCTGAAGCAGGTCCTCTTCCACACCTGGCTGGAGAAGCACTGCCCCGGCGTCCGCTTCATCTTCAACGGGGACGACGACGTCTTCGTCAACACGGACAACGTCATCCACTTCGCGAAGACCACCCCGGGCGGCGAGGAGCATCTCATGGTGGGGCAACTCCTCGTCAACAACCCACTGGTCCGCATCCGGGGCAGCAAGTACTTCGTGCCCACGCAGGTCATGGCCGCCAAGGTCTACCCTCCCTACTGCAGTGGTGGTGGGATGCTCATGTCCGGCTTCACCGCCCGCGTCATCGCCCGGGAATCCCAGGACATCAAGCTCATCCCCATCGACGATGCCTACCTGGGCATGTGCTTGCAGAAGGCAGGGCTCCAGCCCGCTTCCCACACTGGCATCCGGATCTTTGGGGTGGGGGTACTGGCCAACACCGACCCCTTCGATCCCTGCTACTACCGGCAGCTGCTGCTGGTGCACCGCTTCGTGCCCTTCGAGGTGGCAGCCATGTGGGAGGCCATCCACGATCCCCAGCTGAACTGTGGCAAGAAGGTGAGCCCAGGAGGACTCAGAACTTGAGGGGGTGCTGGGGGGGTGAATGCCGGGGCCACCCGAGGGAGGCTCGGGCTGTGGCTCTCTCCGGATCCTCATCAGATGCTGCTGCTCGGTGCTGCCACGGACCCTGGGGCTGAGCCCCGACTCCACCGTGGTTCTGCCAAGGGGGGCACGGTGGTGTCGGCCATGCCAAGCCCTGGCTCGTGCCCAGAGACCACTGAGTGCCACCGCACACCCTGGTCCGTTTCTGCCTGGTTTTTGCCCCCGAATCTACCCTCCTGTGGTCAGGGGAGCCCTGGGGTGCCGGGGGGGAGAATAAATGAACCTGTGTTGTTAACGAGGACATGGGATCTGGAGCCTTCCTGAGGGATGGAGGGGGAGCATGGGCTCAGGGTGGGATCAAGGGGGAGTCCCTGACCCTTACTGGGGTGGGTGTTTGCCCCCAGTGAGACCCTCCCTGCAGAGCCCCTGGGGTCCCTGCACTGGGGGGGGGGA